ATGGATGGATGGATGGATGGATGGATGGATGGATGGATGGATGGATGGATGGATGGATGGATGGATGGATGGATGGATGGATGGATGGATGGATGGATGGTTGGCTGTAAAATCTTAGTTTCAGATTAAAATTAAAAATTGATACAACAATTTTTTTTTCTAAAAATCCTTGTCCCACTGCTTCTTATCCAGTCACATCAGCTGGAGTTTCCAGAAATTAGTCAAACATTAACAAATGAAGAGTTTTACAAATTAACAAGTGAAAAAGTTCTAAAAAATTAAAGGATTTTGTGAAATGTAAATCTCTGTGACATAGATGGCATACCTTTAATGGTCGCACTGCATTATTGTTACATATATTGCATATGTATTGGGTTAAAAGGTGGGAAATTTACAGTGTCCTAAAAATCACTTGTCACTGCTGCAGGGCAGTGTGGCAGTTCTTCCCCGCCAGCTCCCTGCAGCCACAGCTAACTCTAATCAGCAGCACCTGAGGATCATCGGCTTGATGAGCACAAGGAGCATAAAAGGCCGCAGAGGACATCCAGACAGCGCTGCAGCATTACCTGCCAATGGTAGATCTGTTGTAGCCTTTAATTTGTGAGTTAAACTGAATATTAACAACTTTGTATTTCTCCGTGCTTCCAGTAAATAATCCCTGATGTCTTCCTGTCTCCTGGATTCTCCTCTGTGGACCTCAAGCTCTCCTGTGCTTCCTTGGCCGTCTCCACACTTTTCTACCACTTGCCTGTCTCCTGCCATTGTTCAGACGTACACCTTCTTTGCCTGGAACCATTTGGGTCAGCTCTCCCCATAAATGACTCTTACCTCTACTGTAAGAATGTGCAGCAGCAACATTATCGCCCCTGCTGACAGACCATTAACTATCTCCTTGGTCTTCAGGGTTCCAGCTCCCTCCCTGGCTCATTGAATTATTTATCACCTTATAAATAAACATAATAAAAACATTATAAATACATTTTGAGTCTTGCTATATGTTCTCCTCACTCATTGTATCTGAGTATAGCCACAATTGTTACAGGCAGAAACGGTGTCCCTATATATTTTTTTTCTTTCAGAGAATGATTTTTTTTTTTTAAAGAAACATTTCCTTTCAATTAAGTTCACTTTTTTTTATTTTATTTTATTTATTTTTTTTCTCACCTGTTGCCGCAAAAAGGTATTTTCAGCTTGACTGTTGATGGTTACCAGGTCACTGTGCTTCTGTTTGCAGAACTTTTGAGCATCTTCCATTGCCAAGTTTTCTTTATTGAAAAAATATTGGTTTTCTTTCCATTCCAGCCAACCATCAGAGGTGACGTTAACTGTAAATTTGCAAATATGTGTAAAGTTATTTTCATCTAGTTTTTTATCATTTCTAGACTAATTTGTTTTACTTCAAACACACAACACTGAAAAGTTTAAAAGACAACCCCACATGATGATGGTACTACACTATCACTCTTATTGAAATAAAAGTCAACTTTTTAACTTTTTTTTTTTTGGTTAATCATTTAAAATGCTCAGGTTAAACTTTACAGTGGGTTTTGGTTATAGCTGTTAAACTTTCTAATAAACAACTGAGAACCAATTAATAGGACCCATTACAAAAAACAGAAGACTTTCCAAATTACAGCTGCAGGAATATTTCAAACTTTAATTTATTTTTATGTAATTTTATGCTTTTTTACTGCTTTAAGGTCAAACAAATTCTTAGACAACATGAACCAAACTGAGCAAAGACTTGACAATAAGAGTATTAATAATAATGCATTAAATTTAGGTTTTTCATGAGTTTGTAAACACAATACAAAGCATTAATAAGCATTTATAAGACAGTCATAAAACACTATATCCGCATTAAGACAGGTTATCTTTATGACAAAAGATGAGTTTGCGTTGTCATTTATAATGATGGCTCACAACATCTTAGTAATAGTTTATAAAGTACTCACAACTTAGTTAATACTTTGATTGTTCATCATTTATCAGCCCTTTAAATGGGGGCCTATTTTTGTAAAGTTGTACCAATATTCCTTTAAAGTCATTCTCTGCTTTCACAAGGCTTCCTTAAAGTTTACTTTTTGATATAATGTATATCATTGAATTTACACATTTTAAAATTCTGCTAAAGCATTGTCTTTGTTCAAAATCACTCCCTCTATAGCCATATATTAGTACATAATGATGCACTCACCTGGAGTGGGAGTGGGTGGAGGAGGCTTTGGAGTGACTCCTTCAATGAATATAGAAACAAATTGTTAACAATGTTTTATTGCTGCTATTGTTGTTGTTTTCAGAACACAGTATTGAGGATATCCATCACCTTTGTATTATACACACCAGGAGATCTTGTTACTGAAAACTTGCACAAACAATAGCGCTAGTGCTTTACCTGTACGGATCTGACAAATCCATAAATGGTATTGATCACAATGAACATTATTCCAAAAATTGTATTCAAAATACTTGGGATAAAATTCAGTACAAAGTTCCTCATTGTTCATGGTATCTGGCTGTCCTTTTCTCCAATGTTGATAATCAACCTATGAAGTAAACAAACAAACAAACAAACAAACAAACAAACAAACAAACAAATAAATAAATAAATAAATAAATAAATAAATAAATAAATAAACAAATAAATAAATAAATACAATTATGAACTCACTGGTGATCCATCGCTCCACGCAAAACCAGCTCCAGAGTCAGTGGCACTAAGTCCAATCCAAAAGCTTTCATACCTAAAAGGAACACATTTCTGTATAAGATTTTAATACATAACCACTAAAATTAGAAATTAACTACACTCGCATGCTACTTAGGATGTAGAAGTTGCTTTAAACTGAGGTCAGCTCTATAATTTTTTGTTCATTTTATGGGGAAAACAAAAAACAGAACCATGTTCCCCAAACTTTTTCCAGGTCCTGTTCTTCGGCGTTGTGGAAGCTGAGCAAATCTCCTCCAATAGCTCTGCAGTAATCTCTGGCCTCAAACCATGTTTTCCTATCGGAAGAATCTGAAAATGCCTTTAACACAGAGTTTAACTATTATTATGCGCCATTTCAGAAGTGACTTCAAAAGAAAAGTTTAGATTTAAGAAGGGTTGTTGCCCTGTGGAAAAGTTAGGAACAGTCAGTATGTTACCTGCAGCAGATTGCTTACTGATAAACATCAGTTTGGAGAAAAGATAAAGATTAGCTCTGACAAGTAAAAATCTTATCAGAGCAGTCTATCACCAGGGTAGGTTGATGGTATTTTAAAACAGCTCTAGTCTCAAAAAATGTTATAGTGCTTCATACTGTAGTGAACCAGATGACCTCAAATCTACCAGATGGACAGAGACTGTTATTTCCATTGATCTGAATTAGTCTGGGCCATCTGATGACTTTCTTTCTTGAATTAATCAAGCAGAAAAGACAATTCTTTATAATCATTACTGTCTTACAAATGTTTTGATAATCAAATTGTGTTAGTTCACTCAATGCTTATAGGTTGAAAAGAACTACTCATCTTTATTTTACATAAACAGTAAGTAATGATTTTTATTCCTCATTCCAAGAAGAAATCACCTGAATAAGCATTCCTTGATTTTCTGTCTGAAATGAGTCAAGTCGTAAGTATGTGAAAGGTTGGTTTTCGGTCAACTAAAATGTTTACCGAGAAAAATGTCATGTTTAAACTTTTTCAGAAGATTACCAAGAGTTGACTCCACGAAGTCTGCTGTTGCTGCAATAATCTTTTCTGTATGTGAAAACAAATTTCATTCTCTGACCTCGACTGTTGATAAACACCTTACGTCAAAACCACTCCTCTTTCTGGTCCTTCCACGAATCAGAAAGCTCTAAATTGAACAGGAAGTCGACCCAAATAAAATGTGGCAACTTCTCAGTTCATGTTAGATTGAGAGTGATATGGAGTTCCAAGATTGAGAGTGCAGCCGGTTCTGAAAGTTTCAGAGCAATGAAGAGTCCAAGAGAGCAATGAAGAATCCAGAGGTTTTTGGGATTATAATTCTGTTTTGAGCTAACTACGCACGACTCTCTGAAGGTTTGGTAGTTCTCGACGGAGACGCTGAAACGAGTCAGAAAGGAACTACTCCGACGCTGATTCATCATCAACAGGTAGATGGTTCTATTTTGACCAAGTGTACCGTGAGAAGCTGAGATCGGACGGAGCGTGCAATTTCTGGTTAAACAGATTAAACTTCCCTCACATATTTCCTCTGTAAGATAAATCTCAATTTACTCTTAAACTCACCTCTCTCTCATAAATCAGTGCAGATATTTTTAGAAATATCTGAAGCAAAGTCCTCAAATGACCGCCGAGTGATTTGAAGTTCATTATTTGTGAAACTGTCTGTTATTATTTTCATATTTTGCCAAATTAATGTAAATGTTTGATGTTAAACTTTGATTCTGAAAATAAATGATTCCATTCATTTGATGGGTCAAAGGTAATAACGTCTCTTGTTCGCATTCCTTTAAATTCAATGCACGGCATTACACAGTCAGAAAGATGAAGAACTCGTGAAAAGTATGCATAAATATATATCCATATATTTGTCATACAACAAGTGACACGTACCTCACGTGACTCACTACAATACAAATGTCTCTTCACAAACCTTTACACCTCAGTTTCACATTACATGCTTATTTTCAGTCACACATATACTACAGTATAATGAATATTTCAAACCGTGTATTAAGTAAACATTTTGTTGTTGCTCTTTTGGCTCATAAAGCTGGTAGGAGTGAAAAGATCATTTCTGCAGGGGTCACCACAGCAAACGAACTGGCATAAAAGATTTGGCAACTGATGTAGATCGTATACGCTTCCTGATACAACCTGAGCTAAAACTTGCAGCTTTACAATTACAAGGACCACCAGGCTACTATGGCCCCGTAGCACTTTTTGAGGCACACACATCTTATACAGTAGGACTGCAAAAGGGTCAGACAACTTTTATAGCAGATGTTAGAAGTGGGAGTAAATACATTTTTACCTTATAGCAGAAATTTCTTGCAGTGATTTTAGTCCAGTCCAATTCACATGTGGTGGAGGGAACAGTCGGTGGGGCAGGAGTTACAATAGCCCCCTCTACCAAATGTTTGCAAATGTACTTCTCCCTGTTTGTACAAGGCAACACATCCCAGAGGCCTGCAAAACTCCCAGTTGCCATAGCAACACAACCCTGATGGTTGCCTTGTTTGATATTAAGAGAAATTGTCAGATTTAACTTTTAAAGTGGTAAATTTCACAGAGAGAAAGTTTTCAGTACCTGGCATTTCAGAATTCCAGTGAGTAAATCTCACAGACTTTGTGTTGGTCCACTCAAAAACATCTGTGTCCTTCTGGTTTGAGAGCCCCAACCAAAAATGTTTCTCTGGTCTCAGACCCACCAAGCTGATAAGGAAGGCATTATCCTTCCTGGAAACATGCACAGTAAAACAAATGCAATCATCTGGCTAGCCATTGGCCTTGACAGGACAAACACTTTTTCTCCATAGTCTGTGCTCTACGACTGATGTTACAGCTGATGAGGTACTAACTCTTGACACGTATTTGAAAGATTGTCACTTCAAAATGGCTAGACTATTCCTTTAAAGTTTAAATGTTAGGCCAGCTTATTACTTGGATCTTTTTTCCAGCCATTTTGTTGTAGCTTTGCTGTTCTGTTGCATGAACAAATTGGAAGGAGCTCAAGCTGTCATGCAAATGACCTCACATTTGACTAAAGAATGCTTTGGTACTCATTGAATTCATTGTTGATCCAGTGACTCCAACGCTTCCAAATACGGTGGCTTTTTAGCCACAGCCTAATCATTCTGCTTTAAATTTGTTACAGGCTGTTTCTACTGATATACTGTGTTTCATTTTCACCAAATGTGGTTCTTTGCATCCTAACTGAACAAATCCACTTCAGATTTGTTAGAATTAAGCAAACTGTTCCAGAAGTTTTGTTATTCAATTGAGTACAACTATGCACACATAAGCTATACCTTACATGTGGTCACACTTTTTTTTTATCGGCTGATAAACTGTATTTGGTTGCAGCACCGAGCTGCTCATTAAACTCAGTTAGGAGCACTGTTTTTCAAATTGCTGATTTTTATTAATTTGTTTTTGTGGTTTTTGTTGTGGAGCACGGTGGCGCAACTGGTAGAGCTGCTGCCTCTCAGCGAGCAGGTCCCTGGTTCAAACCCCGGTCCAGGGGCCTTTCTCGGTGGAGTTTGCATGTTCTCTCCGTGCATGCGTGGGTTTTCTCCGGGTACTCCGGTTTCCTCTCACAGACCAAAAACATGCATGTTAGGCTGATTGGTAACTCTAAATTGTCTCTAGGTGTGAGTGACAGAGTGAATGGTTGTTTGTGTCATTTGTCTCTATGTGGCCCTGTGATGGACTTGCGACCCGTCCAGGGTGTACCCCGCCCCTCGCACAGTGATTGCTGGACATGGGCACCGGCGACCCCCGTGACCCAAAATGGAACAAGCGGGTAAAGATAATGGATGGATGGATGGATGGATGGATGGATGGATGGATGGATGGATGGATGGATGGATGGATGGATGGATGGATGGTTTTTGTTGTTGTTGTTGTTGTTTTGCAATATGTGATGTGTTGTTTGTGTTGTTCATTTACGCTGTAGCTGTACAAACAGCTAAGGATTATACAGTATATATATTCCTGAGCTATTTGCTAAGATAGATAGATATATAGATAGATAGATATATAGATAGATAGATAGATAGATAGATAGATAGATAGATAGATAGATA